ACACAATATCACTCCCTCAACATCACCCAAAGTATCTAGCATTTTTCTGGCTCTGTCACAACTCCTCTGCACATCATCCTTTGGAGCACCAATCACCACATCAATTTTGCCAACATTGAGTAACACATAGCCATAATTGGAGGGATCCTGTATGATAGAGGTTTCTTCAAGAATCCTAGCATGGATACTGCGAGCCTCGACATATTCTGATTTGAGCTTGTGGATTTCTGCCTGAATGCTCATGGTATCGTGGTCTAAGGATCCATGGGACATGCCACAAAGACCTAAGAGGTCTCTTGCCCTAATGCAGAGAGACATGGCTTTTGTGTAGTTCCCCAATGTATGGCAGCAAGTAGCCTCAATACAGAGTGCATGTGCTGTTGTGTATAACTCTGCAGAAATTATGGCCAGTCTCTGTGCCTCAATTGCATTCACTTGAGCTGCAGAGTAATCACTGAGGGACCATTGAACCCATGCAAGGTTGCACAATCCACGAGAATGTCTTTTGGTGTTCTCAGTTGAAAGTGCTAAAGATATAGCAGCTCCACAGAATTTTGTGGCAGAGGACACATCACCCCTTATCTGATAATAGGTTGTCAAGACATTATAGAGGTTGCCTGTGTGAATTCATATGAGTGCCAACAAACCAGCAATAGTTAGAGAGCATACATTTAAGATCGGAGTCATCAAACTCTTCAAAGTGTTCCAGGGCACTGGAAGTGAGTGTCTCCGGATTGGAAATTGAATATGTCTCTGAGTTGAGGCACTCGATGATGAAGTGGGCCTCCAGGCAATGGTCACGAGGGTATGGGAGGACATTGCAGATATGTTGAATGAGAGGAGTAGCTCCTTGCCCAATGCGTCGACTAAAGTTATTCAGATAGCATGTGCAATAAATGCTATTCACTAGGTCTGGATGACCCTGTTTCAATCCATTCTGAATGACATTCTGTATGTTTAAGTAGTTTGATGATACTCGAACAACTGTGCTAGAACTTGATTTATTTCCTTGATATTCCATGTAGAATTCAAGTAATTCCTGGAAATGTTTGAGAAGAGGTTGAATGAGGTGATCTCCAGGTGGTTGGATCTTCTGCATATATTCTCTGATAGGTACCAATGCTTTTAGCTGTTTGTGTCCATCACTGTAGGCCAAGCTGGTACGAATCAATGTTGCTTTGCAGCCCAGGATATTATCAAGTGGAAGCTTGCTTTGCACAAGCTCAACATCTGAAAGACCATCAGGGAGCATTGACAGGAGGCTCAGGAGATCTTTTGCATGAGGATTGAGTCTAGGACTTGACAAGGACAGTGAAATTGACAATTCCAAGTTGGATGTTCTGTCACATCCATCTGAGATCAAGGAAGTTTTCTCCTCCCAGCAGGATAATACATGAGGGCAACCCTCAGAGTCCACCAAATGAGCTATGAGACTGATTGCAAGGGGCATATTGTCTGTCAGCGAGAGGACCTTATCAACCTCTTTTGGATCATGTGTGTTGTCTGCAATATCTATAAATATTTGTCGTGCTGCAGCTTGTTCCAAGGGCTTCAACAGTGGTAGAAATGGATGAGTCCATGCCACTTTAGCAGGTCTTTCTGCTCCTCGCATTGTGATCTAATTGGTATAAGTTGAAAGCATGGGCGAGAATTCTCTTGGACACCTACCAACAAAGCCAGATTACCTACACCAGTGAGCAATGACAGGAACTCTTCAATATTGCCTCGAGACTTGACAGGCTCCCACAATGTCTCAAGATTATCCAGAATCAGGAGACTGTCTGAGCTGCTGGAGAAATATTGAATGACCGGGTGTGTAAGGTCCTTTCCTGGCTTCAGTCCAACATGGGTTCCTATGAGAGCAGCAAGTTCTACTTGGGTTGCTGCAGACTCACAAGCAATGAAGAACCGCTGCTGATTATATCTCTGAGTAATTTCTGTATGATGGATGACAGCTCTTGCAAGACTGGTCTTTCCCATTCCACCTGCACCCAAGATTGCTATCTTAGGTGTTCCTTGACTGAAAAGTTGAAGAATGTCTGAAAGCTCTGAGCCTCGTCCATGGAATATCTTGGGTTGTGATGGCAGCATGGAGATTGAATTGGAGCTTGAATATATGTCAGATACAAGAGCTACCGTTGGAGCTGATAGAAACTGACCTGTTATGAGAGCCCGAATAAAGCCCACTGATCTGTGCAGCATTCATTACTTGATTTTCTCAGAAGAGTGGAATTCCCATACAGAGGATGCTCCATCTGAACTAGTTGTGTCTGACAGAGCTTCAATCATGTCAAGCACTTGTTTTTGTCGCTTTTCTGCATCTTCCTGCATCTGTGTAATGTCCTTCATGTGATTGACCATTGGGACCTACATTTCAAATCCTTCAATGAGTGGTTGAATTACCAAACAGATGTCACACCTGAAAAATCTCAATTCCTTGTTGCAATCCTGTCTTGCAATCCTTGAGCAGTTTGCTCATCTCGCCTTGATGGAAGAAATTCTTGAGTTTGCTGGCATTCTGTTGAGCTTCGACAAATGTGTGGATTTTATGGAGGGTCCTGACAATAGCCATCAACGTTAAGGGGTTTTTTTTTCCAAGTGGAGCAACCTACTCTGTGAACCTTCCAATGTGAGTCAACACACTTGGTGGCAATTCCGCTCCAGTGTCGGAATTGATGTGAACCATCAAAATTGCATTCAGCAACTCGTAATTTGCTCCAATAATTCGATACAGTCATTCTTATTTTGTCTAACAGTCTGTCATGTTGATTGAGATTCATGGTTGTGGCAGATTCAGCATTATTGTACCTGCATTTTTTTCAACAGAGACTGAGTTGTGTTAGAGATGGCTGCCAAAAAGGGCTCTTCAGGCTGCCGGTAAGGATTTCCAGAGTATTTGCAGTGATAGTCAAACATGCTGCAATGTTGTTGAGTCGAATTTCAGTGACAGTGGGTTGGGGGGGCATCTTGGTGGTGGATCATGGGTGTGCGAGACATGTGGATATTTATCCTGTGTGCACACGCAACTTTTACTTTCATTGGCTACTGTTCATCTGATGTGATGCTCATATCTTGTGTAGAGCTTGATCACATCAAATAATACTATTGAATGAGGGCTCTGCTATATTGCTATGATACCGTGATATCTTCCCATGCACTGTCAATGCACATGATGTCTAAGCAGGGTACAGATGCATGGTGTAAATGGACAGAGCATTTAAATGGTATGACCATAGCAACCTCAAATCAACTTTGGTCTCACCTCAGCTGCTTGATTTGAGCATCTCAGAGAAAGAAGCAGCCTGTTGAGAACTTTTCCGTAGTTGCTAAATCAGCAGTTTGAATCTGAATTATCTGATTGCTGAGAACTGTTCCAAAAATTCATGAAAAGACAGACCAACGGTGATCAAGACATATAATGGTTCTCATGAATGGAAGTGATCCTGAGAAAGCTTTATGCAGCAGACCCGGGTTCTATTCCCGGCCCGCATTTGTCTGGAGGAAATGTGTATGTTTTTTGGCCTCCCTCCTTCTGTTCGGCCATTTATCCTGCCAATTCAGTCTGATTTTCAGCAGGCTGTGGAGGGCTCTTCGATCCTGGAGGAGATTTGAGAGGACGTTGAGATTCGAGTAGGGTTTGGATTTAAAATAAATTGGATTGCGATGGCAAACTAGGAGCATAATTCCGTTTTCCTCTCTCTTAGTTTAGCCCAAGTTCGATGGAGAGACAAAGTGGGTGTGGTATATGGGACACAGCTGTTAATCGTGATCATTTCATTGATTATTGCTAAGTTGCAGCAGACTCGGGTTCGATTCCCGGCACCCGCATACCATGATTTGTGTGGTTTTTTTTTCGTTCCACCCTCTTCCTCTGTTCACTCTGTTATCCAGCCAAGTGCCTTTGTGTGCTTCCCAGCAGGTCAATGATGGGCAATGGGATTTTAAGGAACCACTGAAATTGGAATTGAGTAGGACAAGATAATATTATTTCGATTGGCAGACTGACATTCAGAATAATTCCACTTTCTGTGTGTAACCTCATAGCCCGTGAGGAAAAGCGGGTGTGGTGTATGGAACACAGTTGTGATCACTAACAGAAAATTTGACTTGATGCAGCAGACCTGGGTTCGATTCCTAGCACTCGTATGGAATGGAAGTGTGGCTCATTTTTTCATCCTTTTTGCTTTTTGGTTCCGTCCCTCTGTTCAGCAGCTATGGTTATAGAAAAGGGCTCTTATATGCTAGAGGATGTTCGAGAAGGTATTGAAATTGGGTTGAAATTGGACGAAATAATTTGGGTTGTGTTGCAAGTTGTGTGGCAGATTGAGGCTAAGAATAATTCAGGTTTGTGTATGGTTTAGCCAAGTTCGTAGATAGATAAGAAATGTTGGTGTGGTGTATGGAACACAGCTGCTGTAAATCGCCCCAAATGAATACAGGTTCCAATTTATACAGTAGACCCGGGTTCGATTCCCGGCACCCGCATATCTAAAGTACATTGTTTTTTCTTTTCTTTTTGCTGCCCCCTGTTCACCCATTTTCCCAACCAAGTCAATCAATAATTTCAGCACGCTATGTTCAAAAATCCGTGGAAATTCATGGACAAAATATTTTGGATTGCGGGGCAGGCTCGGACTCAGCATAATTCCGTCTTTTTTTATGCATACCTTGACCAAGTTTGTATATGGGCAAAGAAAGCGGGTGTGGTGTATGGTACGCAGCTGTTACTGGTACTAGCTAGCAGTTAAATGTGATGCAGCAGACCCGGGTTCGATTCCCGGCACCCGCATAGCGTTGATTGGTTTTTTTTTTTGCCCTTCCACCGTCTGATCCTGTTTACATCCAAATCTAACCAAAGCCTTCGGTAGGCTATAGAGAACTCTTCTACGCTTGAGAGATGTCATGTTCGAGAGGGCATTGGATTCCAGCAGGATTTGGGATTTGGAATAATTCGGGCTTTTCTCAGGTAGTCTAGCTAAGGTCGTAGATATGTAGAGAATGCGGGTGTGGTGTATGGTACATGGCTGTCATGATTAAGTTTGCGACAAGTTTGATGCAGCAGACTCCGGTTCGATTCCCGGCACCCGCATTCCCTCTGTCCACCGCCAATTCAACCAAGATTTTATAGGAGGTTATTAAGGTGCATTTCGATCGGATGCTGGAGGATGTTTGAGAGGGTGTTGGCATTGGCATTGGAATCCAAGTTGGACAAAATAATTTGTATTGCGAGGGCGAACTTCAACTCGGAATAATATTCCCATTTTCTGTGTATGCCTTACCCAAGTTTGTAGATAGAAAGAGAAAGTGGGTGTGGTGTATGATACATGGCTGCCACCACTTGTAATGGCAATTTGATGCGATGCAGCAGACCCGGGTTCGATTCCCGGCACCCGCATGATACTTGAACATCTTTTTTTTTTGTTTGCTTTTTTGGGCCTCCCTCCCACTGTTCGACCTTTTATGCAGTCAATTCAGTCTATGGTTTTCAGCAGCCCTTCAATGTTGTAATGTGCCATGTTCGAGATGGTGTTGTCATTGGATTGCATTCACAATGTTTTTTTGCCCCCGCTTTCTCAAAGCGTACATTACATTTTTATTTACTTAACTTGAACGAGGTTGGAAGGATGGAAGGACTTTTTTGATATTTGATGCTTTGATACTTGACGTGGGTGAGATTAATCCTAGCAACAGGCGTGGGTGGATCAAAGGCGCGCGGCGAGAAGACAAAGAACGTGCCCTATTGTCCGAGTCTGCTGTTCATCAATCCAACTGTCTACCAAAAAAAAACTATTCATCAATCCAACAGTCTACAAAAAGAGCTTGAGAATATATGGGCCAGAAATACAGACCACAGAAGATCAAGGACGCGGAAAGGATCCGTTAGATGGTGGTATGAATAAGTGAATTAATTATACGGCATTCCGCCAACAACCAGGCTCCGAGACCAGAACCGAAGACCATAGCGGGAGCGACCTCCATGTGAGTCGCGATGCCCCAGATGGGTGATACTGATCAACTCGCATCTGTGCCTTGTCTGTGTGACAGTGTGTGATCTGTGACGTGACGCCCCACTGCTCGCTCGCTCACTGGTCTCTTGTGTGTATGGAGACAGGGAACGACTCGCCGCCTCTGCGCACAACAATCCTCGGCTCCTTCCTCGGCCGCGGCCGTCCCCGCAACTCCTCCCAATCCCACATCGACATCCCCCGCGAGCTCTCTCCGTCGCCGCCTCATCCCCACACCCACGCAAACGCACAACCCGCCTCACCGAATCCATACAATATGATCGTGCAAGGCGGAGGCGGGCCCGGCGGAGGCGCACCAGGACGGAGTCACAGGGGGCGTGCTGCACCGTCCCCAACGACGAACCCGCCGTCCGCGACACCTGCGGGCCTGAGTCTGGGGCACATGCTCCGCCGGCGACGTAGCGCCGGGAACATCCCGCAGCAGCAGCAGGGCCACGCGGGGCCCGCGCCGATGGTCCCGCCGACGCCGGGCGGGCGCGCGCCGGCGCCGATGAGTGCGGCGATTGCGAGTGGGCTTGTGGCTGCCAATGGGAACGCCAACGCCAACTCGAATGCAAACTCGAATACAGGCGGTGGAAACGGCCCGTCGCACCGCATCCGCCTCGTCCCGCACCTCGACTCCCGGCGCAGCCTCCGCTTCGACGCCATCTCGCGCGACCTCCGCGCAGGCGAGCCCGCCCTGCGCATCGGGCGCTTCACGGACAGATCGGGTCTAGGGCTCGCGGCGGTGAATGCGCTGAGCACGAACAAGATTGCATTCAAGAGCAAGGTTGTCAGTCGCGCGCATGCGGAGGTGTGGATCGAGGATCCTGGTACCGGAGGGGGGGTACCGAAGTTCTTCATACGGGACACGAAGAGCAGTAGCGGGACGTTCTTGAACCATGTGCGCCTTAGTGCGGCGAATACGGAGAGGTGCGTGTCTTTCCGCGAACGGGGGAGCTTGAGCTGATTCATTTTCCGTATTTCCTCTCTTTATTACTTTACTTCGTGGGCGCTCTCCTCGTCCCGCTACTCTCTACCTCCCCATCCCCCACCTCGATCCCCCCCAACTCCATCTCGCGTCTCGCATCTCGCATTGTCTTTTATCTCCTGCCTATACCTCAAAACCCCAAACAGCCGCCCCCACCAAATCAAAGACGGCGACATCCTGCAGCTCGGCGTCGACTACCAGGGCGGCGCCGAAGACATCTACAAGAGCGTCAAGATCCGCGTGGAGCTGGGACGCGAGTGGCAGGCGGGGGTTAATGCGTTTAAGTAAGTGGGGGTTTTTGGTTTCTCTTGCGTTTCTTGGCGGCTTCCCACTTGGATCATCGTCGGTTCACGTGCGGCGACTGGCGAGTGGGAGTAGGAGTGGGAGTAGGGCGAGCGGGTCTTCCAGACAAGCGCTACGGACGAGCGGGTGTCGTCATGCCTGCGCGCGGATGCGGACACATACGCGGGCGGTGCCTGATGTATGGCGTTGGCATCGGTGTCGGTGTCGATTGCCGGTGATGCGTCCGCCTCGCGTGGTCTAGTGTGATCGCGGTCCTCCCGGTCTCTGTTTTTTTCTTTCTTTTTCCTTTCCGGTGGCGCGGCGTCTATGACGTCGGTGATGTGTACACTTTAAACCCGTCCTGCGCCTTCGACTCGTCCTTCGTCGACGGTTGTCGGGACGTGCTAGTGTAGGACGTGCGAGAGACGAGCTGGTGCCTTTGCTAGTCACTTGTCGTGTCTCATGCGGGCTTTGTTTTCCTTTTTTGTTTCCCCGCTTTATTCTGTTCCTCCCCCTCCCCCCTTCCTCCCCCTCTCCCTCTTTCCTCGAGATACCTCTGCTGACTCTCTTACTTTTCGCAGCACGACCGCCCTCAAGAACCTCAAGTCCCTCGCCATCGCGCCCTCGCCGTCCGCGCCGGCTGCGTCTGGGGGTGAGTCTCCTTTCTTGTCTTTCGTCTTCCTATTACCGTATTCCTGGCTTTGCTATTATGTTCGCGCTCGTCCTTCTCTTTCGCGTGCCCGCGCTCGCGCTCGCTTATATCCACTTTTTATTCTATTTTATTTTTATTTTGTGACAAGGTACTGACGAAGCGTGGACAGGTGTCGCAAGTGCAGGCCCGAGAAGGAAGGGAAGCACGGGGATGGGGATTCCTGATTGTTGTATTTGTGAGTTTCTCCTTATTCAGTTTTCTGCGGGGTTTTTTCTTGTCTTTTTTTTCGCGGTTTGAGGACGGTGGGCATGCGCGGATTGTCTCGAGACACATATCTCTCATGACCTATTTCCCCTCCTGCCCTCTTCGTGTCCTTCCCCGTCTCTTCCCTCTCCGCCCACACGTATACCTTCCATTGCTCCATTTACATGCTCGCCACTATGCCTATTCCCTACCTACAGTCGGCGGTCTTTCATGATACCTGCTCTTCCCTCGTCCCGCGCATACATTCTTGATCTTCCGATACCATATCTAGCTACCTAGTCGTCCATCCAGCTACGGCCCGCCCATCTCCATCCGCGTACATCGTCTTACTGTCTTACTGGTCGTCCTCTTCTCCCCTCCCCTCCTCTCTTCTTCTCCCTTCCTCCCCCCTTCCGCTCGCTAACCCCACTTGTGCTCGCTCGCTCGCCCACACAGGCCTCTTCCCAGTATCCATCCGCCAAGCGCTCTTCATCGCGCCCTGCTCGCACGCGTTCCACTACAAGTGTCTGCGGCCGCTGTTGGAGACGCATCATCCGGGGTTTAGGTGCGTTGTTTCTTTTTTCCTTTTTTTGGGGGGAGGGTTTTTTTTTGCGGGGAGCGGGGAGCGCGGATGTAGGTGCGAAGAGTGTGTGCTGAGTTTGTGCGAGAGCGTCTCGAGGGGTATGCGAAGAGCATGCGCAGTGACGTGGGCGCTGGGGGCGAGACGTGAACGATGCGGCGGGCGGGAGCGGGTGCGCAGCGGCGTCGGCGGTGGGGGCGAGGCGAGCCGCGTGCGCAGCGGAGGCGGCGGGGGTGGGCGAGAGCGTCTCCGGCGCTACGTGCCGAGCATACGCGGCGACATAAAGGAGTCTGCGTTGCGTTGCGGGATGCGCACGACCTGTGAGCGTGCGGAGGAGTGCGCACGATGTGGGTGCGAACCGAGGAGAGCGCGATGGGTGGCCGTCGGGTCTTGTTATGCTCGTTGCGTGTGTGCGAGAGCCTCTCGAGGGGTCCTGACGAGCATGCGCGAGGACTGCGCAGCGGCGTGTGCAGCGGAGGCAAGGCGTGTGTGCAGCGGAGGCGGGGGTGGAGCCTCGGAGTCAGAGCTGATGGAGGGCTTCGCCCGCGCGCCTAGTTACGCGGAGAGTCAGAGTACGGGCGTCGCGGCGGCGTGCGGCGGCATCTGGGAGTGGTAGGGAACGTGGGGTAATGTGCGCCTGCTTGATGAGTCGATGCGAGGCGGACGAGGCGCACGACGAGGCGTCTTGCGGGAGAGACGCAAGACGAGTTGTTGAGTACGAGCGCGAGGACATGGTGCTTGGGAGTGGTGGCGTTCCCTGCGTGCTTGACGAGTCGAGGCTGTGGGCAACTCGGTCGATCGGTAGGACGGGGAGGAGCGGTGCGTCCGTGGATATGGGGTTGCCGAGCACGGACGGTACCGGTGCGAAGTCGGGGTCGGGGTCGTTGGTGCGCCCCCGCCTTCGCGGCGTATCCTCGACGCGCACCCCTAGCTTCCGTGGCGGCGCTTGGTGGTGGGGCTTGACGAGTCGGTCGCGCACGTGCGGGCGCCAGTGTCAACTCTGCGTGACGAGTCCGACGAGGCGGTGGAGGACGCTTCCGTTGCGGCGCCTCCGCCCATCGACGTGGATGACCGTTGCGCACGAGAAGGCTTGACCGAGACGTCTTGCTCTTCCTCCTCTTTCTCCCCCTTACCTCCCTTGTCGCTCTTTGCTTTGTTTTCTCTTGGCTTCCTCGTCCCTCTTTCCCTTGCTCTACTCCGCTTTGCTTCGTACCCATGCTGACGTCATTTTAATCTGCAGCTGCCCACTGTGCCGCACGTTTGCGGACCTGGAGGAGGACGTGGAGGTCGAGCCGGAGGGGGAGGTGCGTTGCGTTTCTTGTTTCTTTCTTCTATT